CTGGGGAGTGTACATAATTTCTGCCATTCTGGGGAAAAGAAGAGGGACAACATCTGGCCTGGATGTTAGCAGGGGCCATACCATCACATCTTTCAATCCCTTCCTCAACTGTTTGATCTGGCGCATGATCCTCCCAATTACCTAACAGACAGACCCATTCTATATTGTAAACAAAATCTTTTTTTTCCCTGTCATACGCAGGAAAAACCTTAACTTATTTTTTTATTTATAGAAACATCGCACAAGTAAATATCAAAAGATACAATATTTGGATTATTGTAGAGCAGTATATGCTGCCATGCAGCTGTGTTTTCCAGGGATATCCCTTCATTTTACAACACCTAAACACACTGCCTGGATTAGAAGTGAAAGAGTGCATGTTCTACATGTGTCTGAAGCAGAATATGTGAGGTTCATGAAGCACAGTGCAGTGACGTAGACTTGATACTGCTGCTCATTTTAAGACACAAAAGATGGAAAATAAATTGTCATGCAACAATGCTGAAGTTTTTTGGTACGTCATCTAAAAGGCAAAACCACAATGTGTTATGTATGAAGTCAGTATACTGGAGGGTGAACAGAATTTGCTGAGAATTGTATTTAGTTTAGTGCATTCAGTACTTTGCCAGATTTGTGTAATTAAATCAAAATATGATTGCTGTCAAAATTTAGTGAAGATCTGAAATTCATGCTGAAAGTACTTGTTTTTGTAGAGCTTCAGATTATGTGCAAATATTAGCTTTTCAGAAACAAGCATTTACAGCATGAATTTCATGCTTTTAAAATTTGACCATTTCTATACACAACAGGGTTGATAATTCAAGGTATGGTACACAATACTGTCCGTTCAGCAACTGCAACTATTACAATAATGTTATAATCAAAAACTTACCGCATGGACTAGAAGTTTGTTATGTAGCCATCTCTTATTTGTTTTGGTGACTGCTGGGAGATCCCAAGACATGCAAAGATCTGAGACAGTGTCTTGCTGTTCCTGACTAAGTTCTTCAACTTCAAGCTAGAATCAGGATTACACAAGTTATTACACCTGCCCAGACAATACAAAATTGCTTTGCGAAATGAATGCTATATACCATTTTTATGATGCTCCTGATGTGTAGATCAGGACAGTCTTCTGGAACAATTGTTGCCATTTCAGGGTCCCCATTGAACAGTGTGTGAATTACAGCTGGACTTAATCCTGTGACACGGGGGCCATGATGCAGAAAGGTGTGGCCTAACATTCTCCCTGCAACTTGGAAGAGGTTGCTCTCAATAAGTACCTCTGATGCTGCAGGAACAAGGTGGTCAGGCTCACCCTCAAAGAGCACAGTTCGGCCTGTTCCTCCTGTCAGTACCCATAGATCAAAGTAGTTACCTTCTTAGATACATTTAGGTATTGAGGCATGTTAATCTTCAAAGTTGTAATACACTTACCAAGATTTAGACTGAATCCAAACTGAAGCTTGGATATCACTGTTGTCAGAAAGTAGCGCACCACTCCCTGTCCAATAGCAGTATCCCCTGAAATAAAATACCAATAACACACTGGAAAAACTTGTTACTGACTAATTCAGGCAACTTCCACTACCAAAATCAATGCTGATATTTACAAAAGTGAAAAATAGAATGTTGTACTCCGCATATTTTATTTATCAGTGGTAACTATTTTTATCTAGCATTCCATTCCTAAGTCTGGATCTTTGCAAATCAAACAACTATGTTCGTCTTAGTATTTCAATGTGACAAGCCTGTTTTGTGATTACTGGAGTTAAAGGAAATGTAAACACTTTAAGAAGGCATAGAAAGTTTACAGTAAGTGTTAATAGCACAATCAGCAGATGCAGATGGTTATACGTCTAAAAAATTAAATTAGCTTATGGGATCAATAGCCCACTAAAACAATTCCATGAACAGACATTAAAGAGACGATAAATATTACTAACCATCAAGGGTGCAGTGAAGTGGACATGCCCATTCCTGTTGCTGTTTATAGAATGAGAGAAGCGCCCGTTCCCTGTCCTCCTCAAAATCCCACAAATCCATCCTCAGCTGGAGTGGTTTCCCAGATGCATGTTCACTCAGCAGATTCTCTATGAAAACTTTGGCCGCTTGAGCAGGTTCTTTAATAAGCTTCCAATCTTTAAAAACGTCAATACCAGCAAACACAAAGTGAGTTAGAACATTACATATACCAATAACCTGAGCAACACTGCCAATCAGCAGAAAGACCTAAAAAAATGCAGCATCTTGCAACAGTCTTCAAATAAATACAAGATCTGTCAAAATGGCCAGATTCTCTTTAGAATGTTCGATTCATTCACCTCAGGGACTTTGCAATTTATTTTGTGTAACTGCATTGAAAACATGTTCTACAGATGTTATTGACAAGAATGCAAATAATCAATCTAGTGTCATGGCAGTCATTGCAGCCTACTGAATAAGCACAGAGTTGACATAAAACAGCAAGCAAAGATGTATGTACATACTGTAAATGTATTTTATAGCAGCCCTGTTGTAATAACACCTACCGTTGTGATCAACCTCTTCAATGGCAGCCATGAACAGCACAACTGCACGTTCCTCAGATGATGCTGATGTTTCAGGCCTCACTGGAATCCTGTCACTAACAGGGGCTGACTCTCTGTTTTCAGCAGGGCCCCCCTCTCGTTCTCTGTCTGCTTCCTGCATGGCCAACCTTAAAGTTAACAAAATTAACATGATTTTACTCTCATGTGTGCACAGTAATGTAAGGGAAAGACATTTCCCATTGAAAATTTGTTATGTATTGTCACAGGTCTATAGTAACTACATACCCATCACACCTAGCCCTATGTATTCTCATTTCAGAGAAGGGAACTTCCTTCTGACAAGTGATGCAGGACATGACTGGACCAGAGGCCGGACCGGAGTTCTCCTAATAATTTTTTAAAATGCAAAGTTAAAAGTCTATAATGCACACTCTTATTTTATACCAAAGTCAGTCAGTGTATAAATATACATACACAATCCAAGGGCAGGTCCTGTTGAAGAGGACGTATGTAGATTGTAGCCTGTCCAATCATTGTTGATGGATCTTTCAGATAGGCAAGGGTGTATCCAGTGCTAGGACACTGAAGCAATGCAATATTGCGACTGCGAGTAGATCCTGCAACTTTTAGAAATTCAAAGCCTCCCCCTTCTTGCAGCTTTGGAAACACTTCGATCAGTTTGTTTGTTACAACCATCGGATCGGTGTCATTCCCTGTGTTAAGAAGTATACATAATGTATATTACTTGAAATACTCTACTTCAAATGAGTCAAAAATTATGTTAAATTACTTCGACAATAAGACAGCAAACTTTTGTCTAATATAAACATACGGAAATACTGTTAAACGCAGTGATCGACAAATTAAAAATGGGTTTTGTTAAGTTTCGCGAGTCCCTTGTTTCAGACTGACCTGAAAATGTAACCTTTTGCTCTCCAAGTCCTGAAGCAAGGAGGTCTTCTTTCAGTAAAATGGTTGGAACTTTATCAGCCTTGTGGTCAGCCAAACAACAGAAGGTGTGGGTGTAGCTTCTTCGACTAACTTGGCTCTGTGTTGTCCGTCTCACTGTATTCCTTCTCGAATTCACATTATACGGAGCAAAGAGCCTTGCCATCTCGACTTCAACACAGAGAAAATCTCAGCACTACTTATCACCAATCAGCTAAAATATTCAGTTTAATACTCTGTTTAGCATGATTTCAAACATTATAATTTTAAAAAGTATAACAAAGAAAAAACACTACATGCTATAGCTAAAAACATCAGCGGCAGACAACACAATTTTGCCGTCAAGTTGTATGTCCCCACGATAAACATACACGCATTCAACACATAATAAACAGTTTCGCAATTACCACAAACAAATATATGGACCATAGCCTCTCGCTATCATGTTGATATTCTCGTAGAGGCATGCTACTTGATTAGTAGCACAACCAGCTAATTACTTACCTTGTATAGGTGTACGCGATGAAGCAACAGGTGTAGATGATGGAGCAGTAAGTGTCTGCGATAACGGGGCTGCCGGAGCTGTCGGAGTTCTTCTAAGAGCTTCTTCGATCAAATTTGCTGCTTCTCTCAGCAACTCCGGACACGTTTTCGACATTTTCCCCCTACCTATATCGTTCAATTAAGGCCGTTGCGAAGTTCTTCTTCTTCTTGATTATTATAGGTAGCAATGTAAAAACAAATACTGCCATCTATTGTCTCGGAGTATGTTGACGGGTCCCGTACCGATCCATTATCTGGGATCTATTTGTTTTGACTTGCTGTACAGGGTAACCAATCAGATGTTACTCTNCTATTTTGGCAAGGGACAGATCACCTCCACAGAGATAAGTCACCCTCTCCTGCGGGACATACCCAGATCTGTGGTGGGGGTCCTCCTCCGGCGTATGTGGGCCGGGGGGTGCTCCCAACGGCGCCCCCAGCCCACATGTGCCCAATGATTAATGTCACAGGAGGAACCCTCCACATTCGCACACAGGAGACTCGGGAGGCCTCGGCCGGGGCGCGGTTTGAAAAAGTGGAAGAGGAGTCAGAAGGGGGCTCAGATGTCGAGGCCGAGTCCTCCTGTCAAGGGAAAAAAGATAGGTCAGACTCACAGCGCGGGGGACGGACACCAGACCAGCCAGCGTTTTGTAACAGAGTAGTGCGGGAGCAAGCAGAGGATTACGGGGAGAATGGCCTGTTTAAACCCGCCACCCCAGGGAAAGGGCTAAGATTCAGCGGTCGGAAACGAAAGCAAGTAGAGGTGGTGGGACAGCTAGTGGGGACGTGTGAGGAGATGGAAGGGGACCCACTGTTCGAGGACGGTGAGGACGAGCATTTAAGGGAAACCCAGACAGAAGGACTAAGTTCAGAGTACATAGACGGAGCACAAGGGCCGTCTGGAAATGTATACGGCTTGCGCTCCAAAGGGACAAAGATAATCGCACCTTTATTGCGAGGAGCAGGAGGCGGTAGGGAAAGATATAAACCTTTCTCTATAGGAGATGTGCAGGCTTTGGCAGATAAGCTGCCTCCCCCGGCAGAGGGGGGAGGACAGTGGCTGGATAAGTTGGATCAACTCACTCAGGGTCTGACGTTGGCCCTAGGGGATTTCCGGGCAGTGGCAGCCCGATGTATGACTAAGCATGCTTTACAGGAGCTAGAGGCTAGAGCAGGGATTACTGCTATTGCAGATCGTGTGCGTCTGACAGGGGTAATAGTAGACCTGGGTGACGCCATGCGAGAGATATTCCCCGCCCCGAGAGGAGCACCGATCCCAAAGTTCACATGGGACCCTAAGCTCCACCCCAGAGAATACTTAGATAAGTGTAAAGAGGAGTGGACCCGTTGCACCGGGGGCCATCCAGGGAAGGAGGGGGCGCAGCAGGAATGGTTCAGGCGGGCAGTAATGGAGGGAGTCCCAGCGGAAGTAAAGGGGGCTATATTAGACAATCCAGATCTTCAAGGAGCAGACTCTCATGTGTGGGACAGACATGTCATCCATCATTTGCAGAGGGCAAAAGAGGAAACACAGAAAGAAGAGGGCGACCTTAAGGAGCTGCAGATGCAGCTGCTGAAGCTGCAGGTGGGTGAAGCAAGAAAAAAGGCTAATGAAAATAAAAAGACAGGGCAGGGAAAGCAGATGGTGGCGGGGGTCTCCCCAGAGGGACCACCACCTCAGCCACCTGGTCCATGGGACAGGCCACCCACTTATCAACAGTGGGGCAGGGGTCGAGGCGGTTGGGGCCGGGGGTACAGGGGCCGGGGCTGGGGAAGGGGCGGGCCGCGAGGGGGACCGCCGTCAGGTGTCTGTTTCAGGTGCGGGGTGGAGGGCCACTGGGTGAGGGACTGCCCAGCACCCGTCCCAGGACGTGGCGGGAGAGGACCTCCCACACCCCAGGTATCGACACCCAGTCCACAGGTGGTGGCGCCCCACCCACAGGCGGTTCCCACGGCAGGACAGTACCCGGCGATGGAGGGAGGGGAGTGGGAATGGCACCCCTCCCCACACTGACGGTGCCCACGGGCGGCCCGGGAGGCAGACCCCATGCTCTCCCTTATGGTCATGGATAAAGAACTGCCGTTCTTGGTAGACACGGGAGCCACGTATTCCACTCTTAACGTGGTCCCTGAACATCAACTGTCTACCTCAACAGTGACCGTTGTGGGCTTCTCGGGGGAGGAACAGAGACTGCCGGTGAAAGTTGCGGTGGGGAAACAGACCTTCCTCCACCCTTTTCTTGTGTCTTCTTCAGTTCCAGTGAATCTCCTGGGAAGGGACATGCTGGTGAAGCTGGGGGCCTCAATCTTGTGTAGTGCAGATGGACTGGTGGTCACCCTGCCGGAAGGCACTCGCCTACGCTGCGATGCTCGGACCATGGGGGCGGGACAATGGCTGGTGCGGCCTGTCCAGAGTCAGGCCCTGGCAGACATCTATTGGGGCCTACTGGAACCCGGCCTGACTGGCATCCTGGCGGCCTACTCGGCGTGGCGGCCCTGGATCTCGCTCCTAGAGCCCTATGCGCCCCCACCTGACCCCCCTCATGTGACCCTGTTCTATGATAGGGAGAGTACTGAATGGTATGAGGAACTGTTTGCTGAGCAACTAGAAGGCCATAAGTGGCAGGTTGCCTCTGAAAATATATATGTGGGTCCCGAAGGAGTAGCCTCAGCCACACTGCTGACCCCAGAACAGTTGCCCTGGTACATGATGGGACAGGAGGCTGTCCCACATGTCTCTCTGGCCCTCCATCCCAAGCACCAGGCCAAAGATTTAGGCCCGATGGTTAAACGGGCCAGAGGAACTAGGGACTGGGTACAGACCCAGATCCCACAGGTTTCTTTCTCGCCCTCCTGCAGCATTTATTGTATCCAGGTCACAGCACAGGATACTGCCCTCATGCAGCACGAGCAGATAGCTAGAGACCATGGGCGTGAAAAAATGGACCACCCTAAGGCAGCGGCCCTTCTGGCGTCTTTGCCAGACTCCCTGTGGTCTACCAGCTCGACTGATGTAGGTTTGATATCCTGCACACCAGTGCAGTTCCAACTTCAGCCAGGGGAGGGCCCCCTCTGGCTCAGACAGTATCCACACAAGCAGGCAGCAGAGGAAGGGATAGCTGAGACAATAGATGGCCTCCTACAGGCGGGGGTGTTGGAGCTTTCCACTTCTCAGTGGAACACCCCAATTTTCCCGGTGGAAAAAGCCGGGACAGGAAAGTATCGAATGGCCCATGATTTGCGTGCCATAAATAACCTCCTGCTGACCCCCACTGTTCCAGTCCCGAACCCATATGTTGCCCTAACTAATCTGACTCCACAACAGAAATGGTTCACATGCATAGACTTGGCAAATGCTTTTTTCTGTTTGCCCCTGGTAGAGGAGTGTAGGGATATATTCTCTTTTACTTACAGGGGCTGTCAGTTGCGGTATACCCGCCTCCCTCAAGGGTTTGCTCTTTCTCCAGGTATTTTTAATCAGGTTTTAAAGCAGGCTTTGCAGGGATGTCCTCTCCCGGACGGTGTCACCCTCGTCCAATACGTTGATGATCTCCTGATTGCTGCCCCAACATCAGAGGCGGCCCTACAGGCCACCCAGTCAGTGCTGCTCCGACTCTCGGAAAAAGGGTTTAAGGTCAGTAAAGACAAATTGCAGGTTGCGCGGACGGTGGTGTCTTTTTTAGGATGAATGTTGTCCAGCGCAGGCACAGGTCTCTCCCCAGCTCATCGTTCAGCTATCCTGCATCACCCAAAACCCACTACAGTAAAAGATATGTTGTCCTTTTTAGGTCTCACAGGGTACAGTCGCACTTACATTC